CCCTCGGCTTCGCCTCGGGTGACAATGGTTTTCTCGGGTTGACAATATTCACTGTCACCTGCTAATGAATGTCATATTTATATATTGTAGAATAGATACATGTATATAAATCAACACATGTAAAAGTAGAACAATTAAATACAAATTTCTTAAATTATAGTTCATATGGGTCCAATATTTTGCCGTTTCAGAGGGGGATCACTGTATTCAAGCGTGTTAAGATTGGTTGACGTATGTTGATGGGGGTATGTTGCACGCATGAGAATATCTCGGAGGCACGCCCTGTATTGATAGGTTGATTGAGATTAAAGATCCACTGCCAATATTACACCCAGAACAAATAGTACTTCATCGAAACATGCACTTTCAACAGCCAGAGTAAATAGGCAATCCCTCGGGGATTTAATCGGATTTGCAATAAAGATCAAATATTTATCAACCATCCCCTGTCTCACAATTTTCGCATCCGTTTGGAACGATGAGACAGGACAGGATCAAACGTACAAATGAAATTAATAGGAAAGTTTTAGCAAGTGAGTTACAGGTGACTTGGGACCTAGAACCAGTTGGTAATACCGGCCTTCAGAGCTGAGAAATCAGCAAGCCCGAAGGCAATCGAAAACACCTAGGAAAATTAACAATACCGATGGAAATCGACAATACCAAGGAAAATCGACAATACCGTAGGAAATTAACAATACCGATGGAAATCGACAATACCGAGGAAAATCGACAATACCGAGGAAAATCGAAAATACCAAGGGAAATCGACAATACCGAGTAAAATTAACAATACCGATGAAAATCGACAATACCGAGGGAAATTAAAAATACCGAGGAAAATCGACAATACCGAGGGGAAATAAACAATACATTCGGAAATCGACGACACCGAGGAAAATCGCCATGGCCGATGACAATAAGCAACACCGAGGGAAAACGATATGGGACCGGGTGGCGCAATGAATAGCGCATCAGGTCTCCTACCCGACTGCGAGGGTTTTCTCCGTATTCTGGTTTCCTCTCGCATAAATACTCCTGTTCGCTATCATCCAGGACAACGAAACTAATAATACAATATAAATTGACAAAACGTATTTCATAATTGTTGTAATAAATATAAAATCAACAATACGAATGCCGAGCTTTAGTTCAGGTGTCGCGTGATCGTGTTGAGATGTGGTTTTTTAAATGCCCATTGATACG